ACCTGCGTTGGGTAAGTGTAGGGTGAAACGCAGTGTACCTGCGTTGGGTAAGTGTAGGGTGAAACACAGTGTACCTGCGTTGGGTAAGTGTAGGGCGAAACACAACCCGTGAAGATCTCTGCATTCCTGTTCTTCTGGCGCAGCAACTTGTTGAGCTGCGGCAGCGGCTCGATCAACATGCCCGTCCAGCCCTGGCGACGCTCCAACTCCAACGTCACGTCCGCATACTCGCCGTCACCAGCGCCCAGCACCAGGAAACGCCCGTTACGCTGAAAAGAAATCATTGTATTAGTTTGTAGACAAAATTCAGGTGTACGATGTTGCCTTAAGGGTTTTCCTAATACACGGAGAGCGCAAATAAAATACACAGTTTTTGTATGTTTACATTGGGCTTAAATTGCTCCCATGTGTAACTGCAGAAAAGTAGAATTAGTAACTATTAGAGATGCCATGATGAGCCATTACCTTGTCTTTGAAATAGTCGTAAATGTATTGCTGCGTCTGGTTGAAAACCTTCTCGTCGTATGGCTTGTAATTCGCTAGCGTCAGCGGCCCGCTGCTGGGAGGCACGATGTATTTGTTGCGCAGGAACCTGTGGCACACAGAAACGCAATAATGCTACGAGACGAAAACCACGGCATACGTCGTCATCGTAACATTTTATATTTTTAACTAGGAAAAGGCATGGAAGCCTAGCAATCTGATTCACTCACTTATGCTTGAACTTGTGAAATGTGAGAACTGATGTCTAGTTTCACAAGTAACTGTTTGGTTCATATATAACATATATGAAGTATGTGAGGGATTGCGAATAAATTAAAAATACTGAAATTAGCAGTTTGACTCACTTGGCCATGTATTCGTCGTTATAGGCAGGAGGTCCATCCAAGAACTTCTTCAAACAAACTGAAATACATTAAAATCACTTGAGTAATGAAAGTAAAGAATTCAATTTTTAAAACAATTGTTGGAAATTTGACAAGCAACTTGCTTCGAATTTACTCAGATAATGGTGTATTTTTGATTGCATTTTAATATTTACACTTGCTTATAGATTTTTAGAACATTTAAGCAATGCTTGATTAATGAGTTCTCACTTCAATTCCATCGTCAGCCGATGTAAAGCCATTCTGGAGCTTCGTTTGCACCCACTAATTAAGTAATATTACATGATAAAAGCCTATCGACAACACGTATCAAGCTTGCAAGACAAATCAAGTTTGGCAGTGGGTGACGAGTTATTTGCTTCACCTTGTTTAGAGCAGGTGACCGCGACAGGCTTGCGCGTGAGTGACAGCAACTGCAGGAACAATACCACCAGGAATACGGCCAACATCGCCAGAAGAGTTTCTCCCAATATTCTGGAATGGCATACATTTTCACGTAATTACATTTTTAATTAAAAAATTGGCCTAAAGTTTTGTCGTTAGTGGTCGGCAAGTTAATGGGAACCAACTTATAGCATAAAATATACATTATTTTTTAGTAAAATATTATATCGCCTCAGTAAATGATAACGGTAACTAATAATAGCGCTTCACAGGAGGAATTTGTTATTCAAAATTACGACTAAAAAGCAGGCATAAAATTTTTTTTCATCCGAGCTATATTAGAACTTCAATATGAACCATGAACTGAAATATGACATGAACTGAACCACTGCAAACCTCAATATAATGAATTAATTGGCTTCTTAAGCAAGCTTTACCAGACTAAGGGCCATCATGGAAACAAAACGAGCTGCTACCTTCGACTGGTGTGTCTTTGCTACTCACTTGATTTTCAGGAGACTTTACAGTCATATATATCGTGAAGTTTTAATTTATTCAAACTAGAGGAAGAAGAAGTATAGAAAAATATTCAGTTGGCTGCTACAATGTTTATTTATTTATTAGATTCGATGAAATTATAAATCAAAGAATAAAAGGGTAGGCTTTACTTACTTGTTCAGCTTATTCTTGTCCATTTTATCAGAAATCACAGCAGAAATTAACAATAAAATTGTTTCTTTTTTTTCGTAAGATTGGAACCAAAAGCACCTAATGAGAGACAACGGTTCTTCGTACTTAATTCTGAAAAATACCAGTACTTCAATGTCTGAGATAACCAGTGCTCATATACAGATAAAGAATGGAGTTAAACAACCTTTTTTGCGAAATTAAAATATAAAATATACGGTAACAAAATTGTGGTAACTGAATTCATTTAAAACTTTGTTACAAAGTTTTTGTAACAGCAAAATAATTCTGAAATTAAATCGAAACTAATTAACTCGTAATGCTTCGGAAATGAATTTGTCAATTCAATTATAATACGTTTTGCGATGCGCAATCCGCCGCCCCGCCAGCCCTGGCCACGTCTGCAGCGACTTTCCTGCATCTAAAGCGTTCGCTTTGAGGAAACTCGCGGCTTTTAACTTACCGGAAAATGTAAGAGCATGGAGAGCGCCTAGTTGGTTTTATCCTCCAGCGGTAAAAAAGTTTGAGCCCTGATGTTCTGTGCAAGTTTTTGATGGCACAATAATAAATTTCTGTTTATTTTTCTCTGCATCGTGGACGTCAACAATTCCGGACTAAATCCAAGCTTGGTCGGAATATTCAAGAAAGATTTTAACTGGTCCTGTTTGAGACGCGATTGATTCGAGATTAAAAAGTCAACTTTTGTAGAAAAATGTGCCTCGCCATCATCCCGTGGAAAACATGCTTTTAGAAGAGGATTAGAAAAGTGACCACCTCTTCTAACGGAACACAATAAATTGATTCGCTCTTGCTTGCTAGCATCGATATTATTATTTGAACAATCGTTCCTGACAAAACTGGTTATATGTTCTAATGCACTGTGAAGAAATAAAGTATTTGGAAATTTTTCCTAGTTATAGGTCACAATTCGAGGCAGAAGATACGTGTTTTATATTCTTCACACACTGTTTAATTTCGAGACATCTATTCAAGTTGGAGATCACATTAGTTATTTATAAGCTGTGAGGTTCATTCGATCTTTCGTTTTTATATGTTATGTTAATTGTTTTTAGATTTTAAAGTAAATATTAGTTTTGCTCTAACGTGCAATCAAAATACTTTGATGCCATAACATCATGAACGAGTTCACGAACGTCGTCCCGCAGTATTACGCAACCATTGCATACTAGACTTGAATATTAAAAATATAACACAGAACTCACTGCAGTGAGTGACAGAGAACGCATTTTCTCGTCGACGAAAACTTGAGGTCACGGACGGACAGACGGACGGACAGACAGACAGACAGACAGACAGACGGACATGGCGAGCACAACAGTGCATTTTTTCCATAAAAGAGAAAATGCGCTAAAAATGGGATGACATTAAACGATTAAGTAATGAGGGTGTTTGATTCTGAGCAAATTAGTTAAAGTTTTCTGTTGTTAATCAGGTGGCACGCTGAATATCTTAGATTTTAATATATTGCTTAAACTAGAGTTATTGGCTTACTAATTCGATGATATTCTAGTTCAACAAGTGAGGTCCGATATGCGAGGATAAAGAAATTAATGTGGTATATTCGCTGATTTTTTTTTATTAATTAATTAATTAAGATTCCTTTCATCATACGAAGACTTGGCAATTCATGAATACATTATTCACGAATTGCCAAGTCTTATTAATGTTAAAAATGCTCTATCTTAAAGTAATTTAGAATTCGATCGATTTATCTTGCCATTAATTGGAAGCCAGTGAATTTTTGAGACATCTAAATTTCATTCTTTCATAAGTTGAGATATAAAGTTGCGCAAAATATGGATAAACATGCGAAAAATAACAAAAATTAATTATTTTCAATTAAAAATAAGAAGCCATGCTCGTAATCTCACTACAGTTTATCTTAACAAGAACTGCAACGTTTAATGGATTGCAGTTGCTATTCTTCAGTGAATTCATCCCCTGGAAAGCTATGCAGGAGCATATGTTCAGTCTTAAAATGCCTAGCAAATTATGGACCAGGCAATAAGTTCAGCAGCTATCTCAATCATTCGTCAGTTATGGAAAGATCGGGTTCCAAAGGCCGGATCCCTTGTGAATCAAGCCACGAAAAGTTCAAGAATCGGCAACAGGCCATGGGCCTATTTCTTCAACGCCGACACTTCTATTCTATTCTATTCTATTCAGTAGAGCTGAATAGCACCCAGTCCACTGAATTGCCTGTTTCGAAAGTCTTTTCCAGTTTCAGGTTTTGTTCTGATAAGAACATACGGAAATCACTCGACACGACTCTGTAGCGCATCACCAGCAACACCATCTGCAAAAGATCAACAAATTTTTTTAGTTATACAGGGAACAATAAGCACAGGCAAGCAGGGTGCTTGCATTTGGCTAATCAGGTTTCATCCCAAACGTGCAAATGTTTTGATTGCAAAGGAAATGTGGATTACTTAAAAAATTTCTAGCTTAACTGAAGACTAACTTGGACGTAAATTAACAACAACCGGAGAACAATGGAGAACAGATTACTTCTGTGGCTAAACTTGTACAGTCAATGTGGCGTAACATGTTCAGCTAATAAATATTCGGGCTCCATAAATAATTTCAATTGTATTTCCAAAAATAATTCCTTAAATAATTCAAATTGAGCGACTAAATTTCCTTCTAAAGTGGTAGCAAGATATGAAAATGGCCTTAAATTTTTAATGAAAAGGAAGCATTTGGAACAGATTAATATAATTCCTTTTTTTACTCATCCTGCCTTGAATTGAGGAAGAGACTCAGGCTCCATCGACGCAAGGATCTTTATGTCAAATCCGGACATGTCGAGCACCAGCAAGTCCACTACTGCGGATAGCGTGCGCGACGCATGCAGTATGTACGACAACGGCAGGCACGGCACAATCAACTTGTCGTACGTCTGGTTCTTCTAGAAACGATGAAATATTTTTTATTTAAACTTGAATGTCATTGCTGAAAGGCGAAACTTATGTGACTGGGTAATTATATTTATTACGGTCCTTATTGCCGAAACTTCAGAGTAGAAATACATAGAAAAACATATCATGATGAAGCTAAGGTAACTTTGCAGATCCTTGTCTGAATGTTCATGTGGCAGACAATCCACTAGTAATTGAATAAATTTTACGCTATTAATGGTACAACCTATCTGAAAAAAAATCAGCAAATGTTTCGTAATTAGCTTTGATTAATGCTGAGAGTATATGAACGAAGAAAAGTGTAAATATCATAAATATGGATCGTCAGTATAGGATAAGTTTGAAGAAGAGTGAATCATTAAGACAAAAATTTGTCTAGATTATAGAGTTATAGAAAGTAGAGTTGGAGCCATGATATCTTTTAGACTCTGTAAGCTCGTTACCTTCTGAACGTCTTCTATGAACACATCGAATGTTGCTTGGCGATAGCGGAAGAAGCGATCTTCATCTGAGAACGAAGCGTTGACGCTGGGATACGCCAGCCTCATCTGATGAGACGTGTAGAGAATAAATACAAATGTAACCGCCTAATAATAAACAAACTTCATTAACATTTGAAGCCAGATGTTTAAAATAGGAAAAGTTTTGTTTACTCATGTGTGTCTCAATAGGAAAAATGGAATTAAAAAGTACATAAGCGAATTTAATCCGCTGCACTTGGTATTTCTTATAAAATTATGTTGCTGCTTTCTCCGCCCAATTAATGGAGGGATTTCATGCAGATGCTTCTATTGACAAAATTTTTTGTAAACTTTCTTTGCTAACTTATATACCAGTTTTTAGACTTTCTCAAGATGGAAAATTTTATCAGACAAAGAAAAATATTTATTGAATCAGCTGAAGATCAGCACCGAATAATGCGTTGAAATCAAGATTACTCACGGAAACTGCATTCTCGAAGGGCGAGACGCACGCCGACATGATTTCGACATTCCTGTTCTTCTGGCGCAGCAACTTGTTGAGCTGCGGCAGCGGCTCGATCAACATGCCCGTCCAGCCCTGGCGACGCTCCAACTCCAACGTCACGTCCGCATACTCGCCGTCACCAGCGCCCAGCACCAGGAAACGTCCGTTACGCTGAAAATTCTTTGTTATTATTTTACTGAATAATTGGGACCTGTAATATTGTGCTTTTCTGAGCTCTTAGCACCGAAAAACATTCGGTACGTTTGGCCGATATTAGTGTTTAATTTTGTTGAGATGCATAATTTTCTCGATTTACAAGGATATATCGGGTTTACGGGACCATCATCGGGGGTGTTAAAATACATTGAAGCGAATAATATTTGTTAGCAACTAACACCTGGAAGCATATAACACGCAGGTGACATGTAAAAATAAGAAAAAAATTACGACAAATAAAACGCGAAAACAACCGTCGCGCCCTTTCAAAATAAAAGTTTTTGTACTAGAATCTTATGCCATATTCTGACCTTGTCTTTGAAGTACAAATTCAAGTAATTCCGAAGCTCGATAAAGGACGAATCGTTGAGATCTCTTCGACCGCTGAGTTGCAGAGGCCCCTGTCCGGGAGGCGTCAGGTAATTCTCCTGGATGAATCTTCATAGGGAAAAATAATATGCGCCTAAAAATTACTCCTTAAAGACAACACTTCTTAAGAAGCCAGTGTCTTTGTTGTTACACATGAACAATGAATTTCTAATTTTATTTTCATATATAAAAAATGAAAATTTTTTTCTAATATTTAAAAATTTCTAAATTTTCAAAATTATTTATTCTGTCAACTGATACGTGTATGCATTGTCTCCAACTTTGTGCAAGTGCGCAAAATTTCTGATCGATTGGGCAGGTAGACGTGTGTTAAATATCGATTATAAGATTTGTAGCAGACAGAAAAACAAACAAGAAGTGAAGTTAAAGAGAAGTGTTGTAATGAGTGATCTTATACATCTAAGAGATAAATTAAGGTCCAAGTGTATGGGATTTAAAAATCCAGCATAATTTGAAAAAATTGAAAAAATATAATTTTTTATAATTGATTAAACGTACAGCGATTGTAAGTGACTTCACAATTCTTCTGGTTATAGTTTGCACTTTTTTCTTTAATTCATTTTATCCGAGAAAAAAAAGTTTTTAGATTGACTTGAAATTGATAATATT